ATTTTCACATAGTCATTCATGTCTGAAGTTAAATTTCCTAGCATCATGACTAAAATCCCCTCGAGGGAATTAATGAATATGGCTGTTCCAAATCATTCCTTGTAGTCTAAGGCCTTTGACCAAAAATACTACTGTTTTGTCCAAAATACCCTTAAATGCAAGGCATGTTCATTGAAATTTAGGCAGCATTTGAAATTCAAAATCAAACTCAAACTCAACACACACCAAACTTCTCTTCTCCTCTTGTTTCCACTGTGCTTTTGCCAGAAAATGAAGGGTCCAATGGTAATTCTCTGGAGGACTTTTTTTTCTATTTTATATTCCTGTTTATGGAGAATAACAGACGGGATGGTGGCCATTTTTGTGGTGGGTTGGGTGGTTTCATGGATTTTGGCAGTGGTTTGTTCTTCTTCTTGAAAGTTTATGTGGGTTTTGAAGAATGTTGCCATGAACACAGTGAAAAGACAACACAGGGAGAGAAAGTGAGCTTGAAACTATGACTGTGGTCGTTTAAATGACCATCAGCCATTTAAAGGGTATTTAAGACTTTTTAAAGAGAATAGAGGTCTTCTACACGAAAAACATGAAACTTCGGTCTCTAGTCACTTTTGCCTATTTGCTAGGATTTTTGCACAAATTCCCTATTTGTGATGCATATATATGCTAAAATAACACTGACCAACTCTTCCTAAAAGAAGTCCAATATCTATAATTAGATCCTTTGACTACTATAACCTGTTTATTAAACCTTGTTCATTGATTGCTCCTCTGCACTTCCTTAACCTCATAATTCTGTTTTTAACTGTAGAATTGTTTTTGTAATTCTTATATGGCCTGAAGTTCACGCAGTTTCTTAATTTGTGATGGTTTGCTGGTTTGAAATTTATGATCAAAATTTGATTGCAGACTCTTCTCAATCCCCTTTATCTACCTGGAAGCCGAATTACATCATCGCATTTTGACACAAAAGTTCGAACTCTTGCCAGAAAATATTTGTGAAGCTGTCATTTGATTTGATGGTGTCTGGAGCTCTTTTGCTGGGTTTGCTACGTTATTGGGGCGTATTGTTTCAGTAGAAAGTAATCTGTCCATGCATGTCAAGAGGGATTTATCTATTTTGATATATTTTATTTACTAATTGTAGCTTAGATCTTTTAAAGCTTTTTTCCTTTTTTTTTTACCTCTTTTTATCTCAATTTAAGAATACTTGTTTAAAAGCTTTCATGTAGTAACATATTTTCTGTCTTTGTTATCTAGCACATGCATATATGACAATTCTTTTTATGTGAACTTTCAATTCCCACAAGATCTGATTAAACTGCGTACTTCCTCTGGCCAACTGGGTTTGATACTTCTAAAACTTGGTTTTGAAGGAAGTGGTCGAAGTTCCTCGTGTCATAAATATCATATAGGGTGAATCATTTTTCCTCTCCTCAATGGTTCTGAATTGTCTCTGATCTCGAATGTCATGTCTAGTTGTATTTGCTACCTATCTTTTCCTGTGTTGAACATGTGGGGTTGGGGAGCTTTAAACTCATTATCAATCAAAGATATTATGCTTGAACGAATGTTCTTTATTGTAGTATTCTTTTTTGTATAATCTATATCAAGATTTGGTACCTCCGTTGGGAACATATGTGACTTCCATGGTCCCTGCAACTTCATTCTTCACTTGCCTCAATCACAAGGTAGCCTGCCGACAAGTAAGCTTGTGTATATAGTCAAGGTACCTGGACTAGGGATGTCGATTAATTTTATAGTTCAAGTGGGACGAATGATATACGTGTACCTGTTCTGTGTGTTACCTGAATGACAGACAAATGAACCATCATGAAACCAATTATTTATTGGCTAATTTGGCTTTAACTATTCATGAATTAGCTGCATTCCTTTTGAGGGCATCTTGACCTCCTTGAATGTGATTGAAACAGCTTCAGTGCATGCATTATATCAACCTTTTTATCTAAATTTTATATGTACTTGACATCGTCCTTGAACGAGGACCATATAGTTCATTTGGTCACTGCAGCTATGATATTATTGAATAAAGGCATTGCATTTCATGAATGAGGTAGACAAGCTCTTTTTGTAGTGCGGGAACGTCGCTTTTAACTTTAACATTTAATCTTCTAGAATATAAATTTGATAAACTGAACTTTTTCAAGATGAACATCATCAGAAACATGTTGGTAGTTTTGCACAGCTATGAACTACTGCTCATTAGGTCCACTTATCTTGTTGAGCTGGAATCCATGATTATGTTATATGGTATACTCTAAATTTGCACATGATGGCATGTTATATGAATTGATAAAAAGTCTGTGCTTTTGAGAATGTTTTCCATTCTTCTTGGGGCGATTTACCAAGTGAGGAAAGACTTGGATTGGCACTAAAGGTTTTATTAGCAAATGAAGCTGAAATCTCTGAGAGCCTTGTGACCGATTTAGTACTTTGGCATGGTTCTATTTGTTCTTGGCATCCTCATTTATTGTGTTTGAATGCACGGCAATTTGAAAATAATTGAAGATTTTAGATAAAGTGATCGAAGATCTTTTCATATCATTTCAATTACACCTTTGTCACATAGTATGTTTTACGATTTAAAATATCTTTGAACAGGGAGCTAAATTGCCCGTGACACATCCAACTTCTTGTCTGACTTTGTTGCCATTATTCGTGTGCTTTACCCTTTTGGTATGAAAAAAACAAAAAATACTTTGATTCTGTATAAGAAATCATGTATGGTTGGGAGTACTGCATGTATTGTGATTCAAAGAACTTCGAATTTAGCTTATTAGAATTACTACAATATCTAACATCTTAGAAAGAAAAGAAGTTAAATAATAATAACATGCCGATACATTTGTAGAAAATAACTTGTAAAAAAAAGAAAAGAAAAGAAAATGGATGAGTTGTCTAATATTTTTACCTCCTTCATTATCTTCCCAATGAGACTATTGTTCTATACCATGGTAGAAGAAGATCCTCTTTGTAACGTTAAAAAGTTTGCTTAACTTAATTCATAGTTTTGTAATATTCTTCACCGTCGAGTCAAAGTTGAAGCACGATTGACGTTGAATCTAAATGATGTACTGAGGGATAGAATCCCTTGACAGCTAATCTTCTTGATAGTACGGTTGTGGCATCTAAACGTACAAATATTCTAGCAAGAGTAGGGTTGGTCAAATCGTCTATCCAAGTAAAATTCTTCAGAAATTAAAAACAAAAATGATCTAGTTTCATTTGGTATTTTTCACCAAACAGGGGCGAAGTAAGAATGAAAAAATACTCAGAATATTTTTAACTTCTCGTTAAATATATTACCATTGAGTAGACTTTATCGAATGTGTCATAAAATGTCTCGATCCTATTCAAAAATTGTGCAATCAATGTAAGGGCTACAGTAGCTTTGAGGCCCTGCTTTCAATGGAAGGACACGACATTAAACTGAGACTTTTTGAGTTTTGACTACGTAGCTTTAGCCATTGGACCACAAGGAAAAATGGAGGGTACGAACTGCAGTGACCAGTGACAAACAAAGCTCGATTAATAATATATTTGACTGTGCTTAAAACTACCTATCATCCAAAAAAAGAAACTTTTAACGTCCATCGAACATGCTTTTAAGTTCATATAGGAAATTACAAATGGTGTTAACATAGTGCCAAACTTGATCTAATTCATATACGGTTTGCTGAAATTTACTTTAAAAATCACATATGTCGAATGGCAGTCAATGTAGTTTATTTTTGGTCAGCTAGGAAATGGGATAGTTGAGTGACCTCACTACCGACATAAATGCAAAATTAGACTGCAATAATAGCGTGTTTCGAAGAGTTTAGTTATAAGACGAAGAGAGAGTATGTGTAAGCTCTTACTACTGAAAGGATAACGCTTTATATGCTTAACGAGCACAATAGATAAGTGTCATCGTTTGAGTAGGTGGGCAAATCAAGCCTTTAGCTTTTATCCACGTCATGAAGAAAAAAGACATAATAGCTTGTTTGGGAGGAAATAATATTCAATTAAAATTGAAAATATAGTCGTTATTGGGTCCCACTCGTTTAATAAAAGTCAACAATAACGATTAATTTTTCAATTTTAATCTTTATCAAACACATATTTGTTCAACTTCATGATCCATCTATCCATAAGCTCTCCACCCTCGCTCCTGGAAAGCACATCCTACGATTTACCTCCTCCACAATGGTCAGAACAAGGTCGATGGGGGCCCTCAAGGTTGAGGGTCAACCTTTTTTATTATGCAAGAGTAACATGATGGATAATCACTGATGTCAAATCACTGATACACATAACAATAAATGATGTGCCACATAAACTCATGTGTATCACGATGCTATAATTGCCCCCAACCCCCGCCGATCCCTCCCTCCCCAACCCCTGTCTCTCTCACACTGTCACACACAAGGACGAATGATCCTTCATTTTGTTCATACCCTCTATTTCAATGCCCCATTCTATCAGACATGGAGAGGATGCGATCGTACAAGTACCTGTGGTTAATCATTTATTCAAATCACGAACATCTCATATTCTAAACTATTCAAATTGAACCTCGAACTAATCAAGTCACAATATCTCTAAACCCGTAGAACTCAAGTCATCGCACCTCGAAGCCCCGACTCAAAATTCGAACAACTCAAGTCACCGCACCTCGGACGCTCTCCCGACTCTTCTCAACTTTGTTCGTACCCTGTATTTCTACCCAGACAAAATCCTAGAAATTCATTCCAATTTTGTGTCTATTACAAGGAGGAAAATTTTGATTTTGTACATTGGAAACAGCAAAAACCTTAAATCCCAAGATAACAACATTATGGACATATATATTAAGCCAAACTGATCAAATCCAAAGATAAATTCCTGAACCCTATATATCAAAGATAACACAGAGAAAAGATAAATAACGAGAAAAAAGCATCAAAATACGACAATTTGATATTTTAAGTTCACCAGATAACACCATCTTTTGCATAATTTTACATCTTACGCTTGCCGAACTTAGGTGGCCGGCGGCCCTTGTCGTTTTTCGCGAATGCACCGCAAAACCCACAAGCCGAAACCTTGGGAGACGGCGGCTCTATCGCCGGAGACACCCTTCCGGTCCGAAACCCCCTTCCTCCGCCGTTGGATCGACTCCTTTCGATCGTCAACCCGGCAGTTCTGGATGAATTCTTGGGTGGTGCTGGTGCTGGTTCTTCTTTGTCGTCTTCTTGTTCTTGTTGAGCTTTATTTTCAGTTTCTTCTTTTTGATTAGCCATTTGAGTCAATTCATTCAAGAATTTGTCTTCCCATACTGATCCCGAGGATCCTTGCCGTCTGAATGATATAGCAGATCTCTGCAAGCCAGCCATTCAAGATCTGTACACACTCCCTTCGTCTCTCTCAAGATATTTTAATTGTGAAAGTGTGAACGCCTTGTTATGTGTGTTCATATATATGGGTTTTTGACTTTTTTTGTATGTATAATATAATGGACCATTCTACAAGCACATAATCTTTTACGTAATATATTACATAATTGACA